AGCAGGCTCGGCTTGGCCCATTGGCACATCTAGATATGATTAGTCGTGACTTTTCAAATGTAAACGATGCATATTGAATAGACATGATTTTTCAAATTGTGCGTGACTATCCAAAAATGTGCATAATTAAAATTTATGACTTTTTGATAGAGAGTGATCTAAACTATTAAATCATGACATAATTTGAAAACTATTATTTAATTATCCAGGTTGATTTATACCGAAATGTGCATCTTCATAAAATACACATTGAATCTATAAATTGAATCAATTTCATTCCATTTTATTCACTTCAAATCAATTTCAAATAATTTATCTCTAATTACTTCTTTCTCCGAACTCTGTTAAAATAATTCCAAATTATTTTCCAGTTCTTGTTCGATATTTTGGACCCTATATTATCCGGTCTAGAAGAGTATAGTCAAACTTCTGTTGCCAGGTAAAATTCATGTTATGATATACTAATTTTGAAAAAGGAGTTGTATCTTGTGAAACGAACGTCCATTTGATCATGTTAACACTAGTACATGGACGAAATATTTCTTAAGGAGATTTCCAATCATATACCTAGCTTAATTTTATCTCCTTTGAATTTTTTAGTATTTTCATGTGCAATTCTTGGTTTTGGTTAGTTGAAACTATGTCACGATTATATTGTGTTTACATGCACGTATTTAATTATGCACCAATTTTTTCAACACTCATAAGACTGATGTTTGTGCATTCTATATTCTAATTTTCTATTTAGAATCTGTAATGTTATATTTCAAATGTATTCCAGGTATGATTATATTATTTTCGTTATGTTTAATGTTGAAGTCTATTTCTGCATGAATCAATTACTAAATTATGCGATATTTTGAATGTGGCATCCCATTTTCGAGATCAAAATTTGAAATTCTCTGAACATATTTCATTTTCTTTCTGGCATTAAACTTTGTGTTGCAATAACTAAAACTTGTTGAAGAAGTTAAAATTGCATTTTGAGTACAACAGTTGTTCACTATTACATGCATATTTGATAATGAGTCAGGGAAAATTCGTAGGTTTGATTCCTGATGGCGCATTTGGAAGATTCAGTTGAATCGCTGCTTATAGAAGCATTCTGCTTTGGGTTTGGAGCAAGTGACATGAGCTATGTTTACCTTGAGTGATACATTTATCGCATATAAATAGTCAAATTTATGTAAATCAGAAACTTCAAATTTATGCATTCATTCTTCTAATTCATTCAGTTTGCATGCGATTGGTGTTGTTAAAATATTGGTTTCCATTATCCTGTTGGTGATAATGTGTGCATTATTTACTTATTGCAATTACCCTAACCGTTATGTCAATTTATATATAATGGTGACCTTTTAGCAATCTGCCTTTGTCGAAAAGAAAAATGTGTCACTAACGTGAATGCAGCTTGTTAGTCTTAATTTAGTACTAAATAGTGTGTTTTGTTTTAATCACTTAATATGCTAAATGTCTTGGGTAATTGCTGTAATGTTTTTTATTTAAATAATGAAAAGGCATGTACGATAATCTTATCTACAATTAGTTATGTAAACTTTTCATTGATTGCAGTATACCAATTTCATGTGGGAAAAAGGAAATTTCACTGACTTTGGAACATAAAGGAGTGGGCTATTCACCTCCTAGGGATTTGCATTTCTATTTGCAAATTCTTGAGTGGAAGTCAAGAACTAGAACCATTGAATTTGGGTATTGTGAAGATGTAATTCAATTTTCTTGAAAGAAAATGAAAATTTTGGAAAATCGTAATTGATAAGGATGGCTCACGTACCAACATGAAGAAAGCATGTACTAAATCTAACATTGGCAAATCGGTTTTAAAGGGAAAATGGGTAATTATTAATTTGATAATCTTGCACCAACAAAAAATACAAGAAGAAATTAAAGTATCTCATTGAGTTTGAAGGATATAAATGAGGAAAAGTTGACGGTCTTGCACAAAGAATCTTTTTCTCCCAAACTGAGAAATATAAATCCTAATTTCTTGATTTTTGTTTTGATTTTTCTCTTCCTTTGTTCTCTAATTTTATATGATGTAACCTCTTTTTATGACCTAAACATTGTCAATTTATAGGGTGGAAAAGTTTTGGTTGTTATGCTTTGAAAATGAATCAAAAGCGATCAAGAAAACCAAAAAATAACAAAATTCAGCAACTAGGCCAGTTGGGTCCAACCCAGGTAAAAATGTGGTATGGGCTGGACCATGGTCAACCCCCGAATTTTCAATTAGGTCCCCATATT